TTTCCTCTACAAATTGATATCCAGTAACCAGAAAGATTGGTTAATTTGTTAGAAGCAAGTTGAATAAGTTTTACCGCCCACTGTCGTTTTGTACTGCACTTCCATAATCGATTTTGTGGCTAACAATATCATCGCATCCTTTGGCCTCATTCCGATGTTATAGGCGAGTCCGTCCAGCACAACGGAAACGTGCTGCCGATGAGGGCTTGGAAGGGGCGGGAGTTGTTAAACGTAGCGTCGAAGAAAGCAATGCTGGTAGCCCTGGTCCTTCCGAATCTCCAATAGTCGATCCGAGATCCGCCACATTCGTCTCTGCAGCACCACCACCACAGCCTCCCACACAACAATATGTGAGTTTGTTTTCTGTACTCTATGTGGCTGTGCTGGCTGTGAGAGGAAATGTTCCCACTCAGTTCAATATCAGCGAGATGGCGGAGTCATAAGGCTTCTTGTGTGCAATTTCGAAAAGTCCCTTTATAACTCAGAATCTACTCGGTACTGCTATCCTATAATATGCAATAATTTATATTAATCCTTTTGTGCAATTTGATTCGACTGTCAGGCCCAAGATGTAGTATGACCACTTTCCAAATTTCCTTGTCTTTTTCGGTTTCTATTTCTTGCCGGATTTCCGTTTTTCCACTTTTTCACCAGTCTTTCACTTCGTTTTCGTCTTGTCTATATCTTTTTTCCTTTCGTCATCCCTCTTTCCCTCTCTCTGTGCTTTTAACCGTTCTCTTATTTTCAGAACTTACTCCTTTTGTCCGTGACTACTCCTTTCAATTATTGGCTTTTTTCTCCATGTACTTCTTCCATTTTGTGTCCGCTCCTTTTCCTTCCTGCCATGTCTCCTTTATTTTCTTTTCTTCAAAGCATTTTAATTTGCATGTTCAAAGAAATTCTTTTTTTACTTATTAGGCACTTTTGTCTTCTTGCCTTGTTTTTACGATTTCACCATCATACCCTCCCTTCTGCGGAACATATCTTGTTCGCTTTTCTCGCTCTTCTCTTCTGCTACCAGCACGAGAACTATAAAAGAATAGGTAATGTTTCAGTGAGCATTTCCTATTCTGCTACAGTCCCGTTTTGCCCAATCGCTACCTGTATTTTCCCTCGTTCACATTCTCCTGTTCTAATCTCTTATCCTCCTGCTCTCCTCATCTCCTGCTCTTCCAAACGGCAAAGTATAAATAGCGGCGTGAGCTTGTTTATACCCTGTCGATGCCGCTGTATCTGCAGAAACATCACGCTTCTCTTTTTTGCTTTGGAGTATGGTGCTGTCCCGGGTTCTCATTACTCATTTGAATGTGTAATAACCATGTGAAACTTCAAAAGTTTGTTCCAAAAAACTATTTATTCCCAATAAACTCCAAAAGTTTTTTGGAATAAACCTGGAGTTTCACATTGTTATTACACATCTTTTTTGCTTTGTTGTGTCCCCCACTTCAGTTGCATATAGTTAACACTAAGTTGAAGAGTGGAAGAAACACGGCTTGATTCTTCTGCGGTCGCCATTACCGGCATGTGATTGTTATGTAGCTGGTGAGATTATGATCAGATTTAATAGATCCTCAGCGAAAGGATCGTATATGACTGCGAGAGGGAGGGCTCGTATCTGCCTTTGTAGGAAATGTTTCCGGTTCTGACTTTTCTGATTTTTCCCGTTCACCTGTGTTTGACCTGCGCTACATATCCCGCATGCCTTTCATCCGCTCCATTTCAGGTCTTGGGAGAAAGTGGAGGAATAGCAGGGTGTTGGGAAAATTCAAGGAGAGGGAGAGCTAGGATGGGAAATGGGAGTGGGAGTCGTACCAGAAAATGTTAAGGGCGGAGTCGTACTTTGCGCAAATTCTTTCAACGTTAGGATGTGCCGTGGTCATTGGTGCGATGACTGCTTGCTACAGTTGCTCAATTCCTTTCTGAGTTCTTACTTACTTTTATATTGCAGAAGCATCAGACTAATCCTATGAGTGCACCGTACGAACGAATGACAGGATCCTATACCGTGGCTCCGCAAGGAGTTTCGGGTGTGCAGCCTCAGCAGCAAGTCTTGCGATCAACTCTGGCTCGTGTTGTTCCATCCACTATGCTAGCCCATCAACAATCTCTGCAGCAAGCTCACTCGTCTACAAGCCGCCCTGTCGTTGATACACGTCCGATCATGGCAAAAGTCCGAGGTAATGCTAAGTTAATCCTATAGAAACCTCCTTTATGGGTCTCAGAAGTGAATTTCAGTTGAGACTGCTCCTTTGACAACTGCGCCTGCAGGATATCAGAGTGAACAGCTGAGACAGGCCCCGCTACCCAAGAAAGCTGCACCTAGGGATTCTCACAATGCTCTGCCACATGGCACAGAATTCACTCAGGCTTCACAGGAAGCGCTTTCCAGTCTCCCTGTGAATGGTGATGAACATACAAGTAGGTTCAGCTTCGAAAATTACTTATTCTGATTTCCAGATATATCGCCGGTGAGGCTTTCTTGGCTATTTTCAATGACTTTTCAATTTGCTCTTTTGGTTTCATAATTTCGTGCCGTTTAAGCATCAGCTATCAATGTTCTCGCTCCACCAATGTCGATGGCAGCAGCTCCTCTAGATACATGCCGTCCAGCACAGCCTGGTAAGTACATCTTTTTTCAAGGGAACATCACAGTTAACTGCGAGGCGGCCTTACTCCTTACTGTAGGCAAGGTGGCAGTCCCTAACTGCAGAAGTGTACCACTTTCGCTATCCTGAAATGCATAACAACAAAGGTGAAGGTTTGTGACAATCTACTGTGTATAGTGCCCACTGTTCGTTACCACGGTACACTCACCACACACGCTCCCGGTACGGTGCGTCTGTTCTCCAGACGCGAAGTATGCTCTGCGCTGCGCCTTAGTGGGGCAGTGGAGAATAATGATGCTCTGACGCGAACTCAAGTAGTGCCTATGGCTACGAATAGACGTACTGCTGGCTATAGAGCGGCTCTCACTCCGTATTGCGTAGAATAGCGGGCGGAGAAGACATCGCGTAATCACAGCCCTTCAGCCTGATTGCCTCGTACTATCGAATGAAAGTGGTACACTTCAGCTACAGACCTGCCCGCCTCACGCATGGGAGGGATCGTTGACACGTTGACGACCGCGCGGGTTTTTGCTTTTTCGACCGCGTGGGACCGCGCGCTTTCTCGAACGCCACATGCGCGGTACGCATACGATTCACGCGGTCTCACGAGGCACTTTTATTTGGAGATTGGACCAGAAAACCTGGTTTAGAGAGCAACTATAAAGTAAGTCAATTATTTACTATGGAAAAATCTGGGCTGACCAACTCTCTTTGCACCAGGGCCAAAAATCTGGGCTGACCAACTCACTTTGCACCAGGGCCACGAATTTGTCTGTAACCGATTTTTCATAAAAAAAATCAAATCGTGCCTTCTATAGAACTCAGAATCCTTCACCTTATATTTTTTCATCATTATCAATGTTGTAATTGTCTGTATTTGTTGGCAAAGAGTTAAACAGCAAACCAATCCAAAGTTGAGGAGCAAACCAATTCAAGCTTATAGTGCTCTTTCCACAGGAAATCTTTGCTAAACTAGTGTGTACTAAATTATTCCATGGACCACGTATTGTACGAGTATACTAAGGACTGGCCTATAGAATGAATAGGAGAAACTAAACAAAAAATCATGCACTAGTGAAAGATATGGATTTGTTGATCGTGATTCGTATACAATTCGCGCGGTCCCACGTGGCCACAAAGCATTAACGCAAATGCGTATCACGCGGTCGTCAATGTGTTAAATGTGTCTATACTTCCATTAGATTGACTTACTCTTTCTTTCTTTACTCTGCTTTTTAATACATTTCATTAGCACTACTTTTAGGGTCGTCAGTGTCACCATATCCTATGCTCAATGGCTTGTTACCTGAAACCAGTAACGTGGTAGAAATGAAAGAAGAAAGTGATGCTGGTATCCCTTCTACCCCATCTACGTCTCAGTATCGGTGACTACCGTGCTTTGTATCACCTCGCAACGCCTTTTGGCCTAGGTTAGAGCCATTCCTACATATCAAAACGTCAGTTTAAAAAGGTGGTGGACTTACGATTCACCTGGGTTTCCTCTAGTCTCATGGTTAGTTGTACGTTTTTGTCGTTGTTTGGAGGTCATTTCTCCTCGTTTGTTTGCGTTTTAAAAATTTTGACGTATCCTTGGATGTCGGTTTACTTCTCAGCAAATTCTACCCGGTATTCTTAATCATACGTTATTCAGCTCAACTAACCGATCTCTGTGAGATCTTGTGATTTTCACAAATTTGTTTTCTATCGTAGCAAGTTTGCGAAACAGAAAAATTCAAATTGTTATATTGTACTGACCTTTGCATATGTAAGTTTCTACACGTAGATATTCTTCATTCTTAGAGTGAATTACGCAATTCTAACACGTTTTCTTAATACACATAATTAAGTCCATGGTGTAGTGTTTGATCTCCTAGTTTTGTATTTTTCTTACTGTGTACAATGTTTCTATTGGTCTACGGTTCACTTATTGGAAAAGTTCTCATCGCTTTCAAAAGTGTAACATGTTGTTAACTTTTTGTTGCAACTGCCTTTTACGGTTGTGTAATGAATATTGATGGTAATGGCGTTTGTATTCGTTTCGAATTCGTTATAGTATGCGAGAAATGCTTCTGATACCTATTCTAGTCTTACAATTTGAGTTGATTTACTGATTTGTAGCTTTAGCCTCATTCATACTCTTTAAATGGCGGGATGCGATTTGATAGAGCGCGATAATTGGAAGAATACGCTCAATGCAGAGTGTACGTATCGATCCGGTAAATCTAAGATTTTGGGGAACGAGGCTTTGCAAAATCTGTCACGGTTCGTGCTTGGCGTGCGAACTAGAAGGCTCCGGCGTATCCGGGAAAAGAGTTAAATGGGTAGCCACAGGGAGAATAGTAGAATCATTCATACAAAACGTCGGAAAGTCCTGCGCACCAGCGACGGAGCCAAATGCTTATCCAATCGTTTGACTTCCGCTCAACTGAAGATAGCGCCCTAGAACCGGAAAATCACCGACTCTCACGATTGGTACGTATGTAACTCATTTCGCGGGTTTCTGGACTCTTTCGGTTTTTCGCTTGGAGATTTCCCGATTCTCAATATCGTTACGAATTCAAGCCTTTTCTCGTGTAAGCCAAACTCGGTGAGTGTCCAGAGTTGCGGTTTAAGTCGTTCCGGACCACGTGACACACATGCTGAGTTATGACGTCCCTGTGCAGTGCTTTTTTCAGTATCTTGGCTTTTCATTCATGTTCTGAAGTAGTCAAAACATGTTCTCAGTCACAGAAGAAATCACATGTTCTCAATACTTACTTCATAATCGAAAAAATGGAGGGAATTACTGATTATTTACTGATGAAAAATGATGAAATATTTCGGAGATACGCGCAGTACGGCGGCCCGCAGTTTTTGAAGAGTTTGTAAGTAATGAGCATTGAGTATTTGCCTTTGTAAGTAATGAGCATTGAGTATTTGCCTCACGCATTCTGTGAAATCGCGGATTTGCCAGATCGATACGCTTACCTTTCTTTGTGCGCTCTCTCCCGGTATATACATTCGTCAAGTGTCTATACTACCTTATACGCAGAATTTTAGCAGAAGAGGAGTATGTCCGCATCAGCACCTGCTAAGAAAATTCCGGATATGTTCCTCCGTGCGCTAAAGAGGAAGGCTGAACCAGTAGTCACAATAGTCACAACAGGAGACACGGGAAACGATGAAAATGCGGAGAAAAGAATAAAGCCCGAGGAAAATGCACAGAAAGTATGAGCCGATGAACAGCTGTTTGGCTATGCCTTATTTTGGATTTATTGCAGCTACAGAAGGAGAATATAGTGCCCGGTAGCAGCTTTACCCTCTTCGATTTATTACTGGAAAAGGAGTGGCGCTCGATTCTGAGAAGTGAATTCTCGATGAAGTATATGGTAGAGATTGAAGAGTTTCTTCGTGCTCAATATGCCAAGGTATAAACTTCGCTTATAATTTCAAACATAAGTCGCAGCGCCACAGGTTGAAGAGAAGGTCACTGTAACCATGTGTGTGCTCAGCCGCAAATGCATTCGCTGTTCCATTGTTAGAGATGTTGTAGGTTTTGGATGCAACCTTGGCGACATGCTGATTGTGATCGATGCTTTGCGGATAAGACCCCTATTAAGGACAGCATTTCTTCGTCTTATAAGGGAGCGCCGCCGACAGAGAAGAAAAAAATCATCGAAAGCTGCGGCAGCTAAACAGAAAGCGCCAGTTGACGATGCTGAGATAGGATGTGTGGTCACGGCTCACTGTCGGTCCTAGGTTCAAATCCCAGGTTGACTTCCCGCCCAGGCCAACCAAGCCTTCTACCCTCCGGGGACGGTAAATTGGTACCAGATTCGTCTGGGAGGATAAAACACTGACTTGTACATCGGCTGGCCACCGCAAGTCATTGTATAGGCCACATCGCATTCAATAAGCCACTACGATTCTGAATGGAAGTAGAATGCGTGCCGCATCCCACAAAGGGATTGATCAACGGCGAAGACTTTATCCTTTGATCTAGGATACCCGGTGGCGCACGTGAATAGAATACAGCAGGGCGAGGGCTTGACGTGGACGGATATAATTAGGCTTCAGCGCTTCTTCCTGAGCTTGGAGACGATAATTTCCTTCTTATTAAACAGCTGTGTGTTTCTACTGCTTGAACTAAGAAGTTCCGAGAGGAAGAATTAACTTAGATTGGAATTTATGCTTTTTGCAAAGGTATACATTAGGCAGAGGCGAAAAAGTGGTTATCAGGTCTTACGTATGATCATGAAATCAACATTAAGCACACCTTGAAGACAATAGGAACGTTTACCTTGTAAACGGTGCTCCCGTCTAATATCTATTGCGGCACAAATTTGGGAAACACCGGTCCATTTCGAAGCCTTGCCCCTGTGGCCACGCCCACCCGGGTATCTAAGTGCACGCACCCATGTGCTGTGCTCAGCCCCAAATGCATTCGCTGTTCCATTGTTAGAGATGTAGGTTTTGGATGCAACCTTGGCGACATGCTGATTGTGATCGATGCTTTGCGGATAAGACCCCTATTAAGGACAACATTTCTCTTGTAAGGGAGCGCCGCCGACAGAAGAAAAAAAATCATCGAAAGCTGCGGCAGCTAAACAGAAAGCGCCAGTTGACGATGCTGAGATAGGATGTGTGGTCACGGCTCACTGTCGGTCCTAGGTTCAAATCCCAGGTTGACTTCCCGCACCAGGCCAACCAAGCCTTCTACCCTCCGGGGACGGTAAATTGGTACCAGATTCGTCTGGGAGGATAAAACACTGACTTGTACATCGGCTGGCCCCCGCAAGTCATTGTATAGGCCACATCGCATTCAATAAGCCACTACGATTCTGAATGGAAGTAGAATGCGTGCCGCATCCCACAAAGGGATTGATCAACGGCGAAGACTTTATCCTTTAGAAGCCACTAGTTATGTGGCTGGCCCACAGGCACTGGAGCTTCCCAGTAATCTGTCTGTTCATTACGGCCTACCTTCTTTGCTTTGTGGGTTGCCACTCCGTTCCCCTTGCCTGCCAATATAATGTGTTTAATCTGTGCTGAAACCAGATACTATCTGATGCTATTGAGAACAGACACGGTTCTTTCCTGATGATTGGTTGTAACACATATTCAATAATTCAAAAGTCATTCTGTCTTCTTATTCCAGAAGGTTCCAATATTCCCTCCTCGTGACGAGATTTTTTCCGCATTCAACCTTACGCCTTTGAAAAACATTCGTGTAGTTATCATTGGACAAGATCCTTACCACGGGGTTGGACAGGCATGTTTCTAAATGGAGCGAAATCATCAATTGTGTGGAAGTACTTCAAATATAGAAAATGTTTATTTTTAGGCTCACGGCTTATCATTTTCTGTGAAAAAAGGAGTTCCACCTCCTCCGTCGCTCAAAAATATTTACAAGGTTAGATTTCGTTAGAAATTTTTCTTCACAAAGCTTGCCACTCGTTTGGTTGCAAATGTTGGATTTGCGCACCGTAAAAGACACAACTGCTCACATAGTGAAGTATAGCACTGACTGGATGGCCTTCACTTGTGGAACCTGTTAGCGGAAAATGGCAGGGAAATATTCGGATAATAGTATTGAATGAAAAGAGGTTGGAATTCAATTGGACGATCAGCATAGCAAAAAAGACAGAAAAAGTCACTGTCGCTAGAAACTTTTCATGCGTGGGTCTCTGCGACCTGTAACCAGTAAATGCATTTTAAAAATCAGAAAATGAGAAAACCAGACGAAAAGTGTTGTGATACAAGCGATAGATGTGTTTTCGAGTTGATCTTATTTTACATCAGCGAAAGTATGTCTTGGAGATATCTTCGTTATTTTCTGTATTGAATTTACGTTCTTTCCGAGTTCATTGATTTCAGGAGCTTTACACGGACATTCCCGGCTTCGTTATTCCTGACCACGGATTTCTGGAAAAATGGGCTTTGCAAGGGGTATTCATGCTTAATGCTACCTTGACAGTCGAGTATGTCTACACAAACACTTCGGAAAAATGAAAGCTCTGAGTAATAAATATTTATAGGTCAGGCAAGGCAAATTCGCATGAGAAAATCGGTTGGCAGAAATTCACAGATAAAGTAATTAGTCTGATTTCCTTGAATACTACTGGAGTAGTGTTCCTGCTTTGGGGAGGATTCGCACGTAAAAAGGAGTCTCTAGTCGATTTGAAGAAACATGCAGTCATTAAGGTACTGTTCAGAGTTTTAGGTGATTGTTAGCGTCCAAAAGTGAAACCGTTCAGACGGCTCATCCTTCTCCCCTAAGTGCGACCAAGTGGTTCGGATGCAAATGCTTCTCGAAGGCGAACGCTGAACTCACACGCATGGGACGACCAACTATCGACTGGAAGTCGCTTTGATTCAGTTCAGCAAGTCGTCGGTTGTCCTGTCGTCCATTTTTCTCCTTTTAATAAGTTCTCAGTCTGTTTTCAAAAGTTAGTAACGCTGCATAACTAACTTTCTTTTTCGTGTCTCATTTAAAGTATAATTGAAGAATTTGTCTGATCTCTATAGGTACACGGTAACTCAACTTAGATTTCTTGAGTCCCAGACTCTCTTGAGTTGCGTATATTAGATGAAGGTTTGCTAATGCACCTTATTTTGGGTTCACTGGGTGAGCTTTTTACGGTTAAATTGTTATTGTCATATTGCTATACTTTTATCTGTCGAAATAGCTTTTTAAAAGGCGGGGTATCCATCCGGGTTGAATTACCCATTCACTCTTTTATCCTCAGTTTTACTGTGAAGTTACTGTAGTGAGTGTAAGCGTAGCTTTTATGCAGTGGAAATTCTGGCTATCTGTCTGCATAAATATGAAAAACGACTCTTGTTCGTGTCTGTTCATTGATGTACTATCATTTGTTCTTATACCTCCTTAACTTACAATTTATATCTTCGCACTTCAGCGGTGCGGCGTCAGAAAGCGTAGAATGAGCGTACTCGCGGCGTTTTCCACCACTGGTTGTTTTCTGCGTGGACAATCACTATTCGTAGAAAAAGCACTTCAAAGTGCATTCATTCTATGTCTCCTGACACTGTTCAGCCGAATTCGGACAATAACATATACCCGTTAAAGTATGTCACCATTTCTCAATTCTTTTGTTAGTAAGTTTTAGTACCCTGACGCTGCTGCGAGCATGGGATCCGCGACTGCTGCCACCAACAGGACTCTATTTTGTTCGTTCACCGACCTGCTGCGCGCTCGTGTGAGACGACCTTCGTTTCATGTTTATATTGCTGCTGAGCCGGGCGGCTTTGGTATTCCACCTCGACATTCCCGAGAGCGCTCTGCGCGTCGCTTCGACACATCCCGCAGGCAGCGCTTGGCTCGGGCTACAACTTTTTCACCACCCTTTTCCCGTTCAGCCCGATCCCGGGCAGTGTCATCGAAAATTCAAAACGAAGGTGAATTCCATTCAGATTATAGCGCAAAATCTCTGTACGAGGGTTTTCTTAGCGTTTTCACCATTTCCCGGACATATTGCCAGACACAGGGTTCTTCTCCACCTCCTTCATTCAATAGGTCCCAGTACGTCGCAAAGACACGAATTAGCGGAAAGAGCTACTGGGGGCGAAATAGCTCGACCTTACCCCACGCGGTCTCTCCCACAGCCCCTGCCTTCTCTTCACAACCATTCTCCTCCTCGCGTATTAGGGCGGCGCCGCGAATCTTTCACCTGATCGCGGCGAGTTTCAGTCCTTTGAGTGTTCCAAGCAGTAAGAAACGAGTATGAAGCGTTGGTCGCTTCCTAGTCAAAAGAGCCGAAACTTCCCTTTTGAGGACATATGGTCTTCACCAGAGTCCTTACTTCAGATATTTTTTACACTTACACAGCTAGTCATCTGCTATTTTTTAATTTTCGGATGTTGGAAGTTATATTAGTTTTAGTGTTGTCTATTTCTGTTTCGCGTTTTCGTGCTTGGTCTCATCATAATTGAGATCTTCTAACGTCCGGGTAGGGAGAACGGCGATTTTCGAGTATTAGTTTTCCCCTGCCGCACCAAATAATCATTTTTTAGTACAAATGGCTAAAGCCCTCACTCATTACGTTGTATCTAGGCCAAGAACTCTGTTAATCAGTTCATGGGCCAGAAAGTTCACCAGTGTATTATGGAAGCGTTCGAAAGTGAAGTCATAGCGGCTTACAGCGATGTTCCGGGTTTGCGTCAGAATTCTGTTGTTCTTGCCGAAGTGCCTCATGACAGCAAGCCCTGATTGGCCTTCAGAGCTCTGATGCGAGGACTGGGAATCACAAATTAAGGCTAGTTTGAACTTTCCAGATTAAGGAGCCTTATCGGCAGCAGCAATGTAGTTCGCAGCTACGAAAAGCGCGTACGTAGCGGAAAAATTCCCATGCGTGATATCTTCGGCGAGAAAGTAACGGTGATAGTGCGATTATCCGAGTGGCGCACAACATCAGCAGAAATCTCTTAGATTACTTGCGACCCTTTGCTGCCCGCCCACAGTTGATCAGTTCGATCCTGATTGCGAATGCCAGCCGCCACGCAACTGCCATATCTTTCCATTGCTGTTTTTGTCCCGAGATTAGAGGTCCCCTGGAGTGGCCGCGTTATCTTAAGTAATTGATGGTGACCAGGGAGCAGGCGGCGCGCCTCTGTCAGTTGGTGCAGTCAATCTTCGAATAAGAAACACACCAGGATGAGTATTTCTTTGTCCCATGGTTGTCAAGCTCACAATCTGCTGCTTTCGTGGGGCCTTACCACCGCTCTAAAATTGGCTTTTTTTTTTTGTTGTTAATTTTTTCAGAAGTCGCCTAGCTGGGGCGGCCGGGTTTACCGCTAGCGTCAGATTTCAAGCGGGGCCCTTCTGCTCCACATCCCTCCTTTTACGATTTACACAGTCAAGCGGGCACTTAGACTGCACAGCGCATGTGAGCGAAAATAGGTTCTGTCTACTTGGGACCGGCGCGTATGTGTAAGTGGAACTGTTGCTAGCCCGCGTCGGTTGTTTCGAGCCCTTGATCTATTTCGGTCAAGAAAAGGGATGGGTTTCCCGTCTCTAAGGTATGTTGACATTCCATATATCTGATCTGGCCTCTTAGACGAAGAAGATTATCTACAGTCCACAGCGAGCCTAGTGAATACTGAGCACATATATTTTCCAGCGCCAAGAGGGTATTTACCAGTTCCCCTCACCGAGCTCGCACCGAGGCGGAAGGCGGCGTGATAAGCAAAAGGCTGCCTCGAAATGTTCGATATAGATTTATGGATCAACCTATATTTACCTAATAGTAATAAGTACGCGACTCCGTCTGCCTGAGCGGCGCCTCAATCCGCCGGCAGAGCCCACAAGCAGCCCTCAACTCAAGAGAGAAGTTGCAGTTCCTCTCGCTGGCACGTCACCGTCGCTGCCCTATTGTGTATTTCATCACTGAGTCTTCCTCCACTTTGCTTGTGCGCGCTATAAGAACTTCTCCGCTCTATAACAATCACTCACTGGGTCTTTACTCGATTGGTTGTTGTTCGCATACAGTCGTATTTTCCTCGGTCGAGTTGAGTCGACACGCAGGACTATATAAAAGTCACATTGGTCCGGACTGCCAAAAGAGATTGCACCCAGAGTAAATATAGGGTGGATTGATAGACACCTCCTTCTTTAGTGGTTCTAGAACTTGATGGGACGCGTCTGAACATAAGTGGTAGGGACTCCCTACCTGAAGTTATCGTTTGAAACTCCTCTGCGCTCGAAACATCCCAATACATAGATTATTATGCGCGATTAGAAGCAGGATTCAAGTGTCTGTCCGCCCGGATCACTCCCGCGGGTCCTTCGACTCCGGAAGCTCTCCGATATGCTCCCAGCTAGAGAGGCGACTGCTCGTTATTGTGTCATACCAGCGGTGCAGACCTGCCATGCCGCGAGGCGTGAAGTCGGATGCGGGGATCAGTCGCATCACATTTAGCGATTTTATCCTCTTAGGCACTTCTCTCACCAACTGAGGGAATGTAGAGTCATGCATGACCGGTGGGTTGATCCGCATGGTAGCTGGTTCAAGATTTGATTCTGTACCGTAATCGGCATCTTCCCACAACATCATCGTACGCGCAAGGCTTTGTTCACAGTCTGCGGACCTGCGTTTCTCCCAGAAAGAAACGCTTCGGCGAAAAGCTTTCGATACGTATCGACTGGCGGTTGGGCGAAGAGTCCAGGCGGTTGGGCGAAAGGGTTTTGATACGAATCGACGGGCGTTTCGCCGAACCGCGGCGTTTTTCACGGGAGACGTGCAACAGAATCGTCCGGGGCAGCGCCCGCGGCACGCGGCGCGTCGCGCGGCGAATGACTCAGCAGCTCACGTGCATTTGCTAGCCGATAGCTTTGCGACTGGAGCAAATGATTTACTACAGCGTACATCCGCAACATTTAGCAGGTTTCATCAATGATTGAAAATCTAATGATGTTTTTCTTGATAGTAACACACAATTGTTTGGCGGTTCCATAAACGCAACTTCAGGAAATAAACAGATACAAAAGAAATCAGATAAGGCCGTGATTCTCCCTATGTTTATGTGGTTCACATGATTTGCGCAGTCGCCAGCGTCAATATAATAGACGGATGGCCAAGTTTTTCTGTGAGCTGCTGTAAAAGATGACAAACCAGAGCAAATGTTAAAGACCCCAATGAATTTCGTGCTCTATTGAACTTTTTCATACTCTAACTGAAAACTTAACCGTAACTGAACACAAGACTCCCTGGGTGATATCAATATTTACCTTCCCTTCAATAACCCTATTCAAACCGCCAGAAGCACGCTTCGTCTTCTCGCCGCAAGTATGTCGCAGGCCACGCCCACCAGCTGCCCGGACGATTCTGTTGCTACACACCCGTTTTTCACATTTGAAACGCTAGCCCGACCGCCCTGGCGTTTTTCGCCAGCGAAATCGATACGCATCTATTGCTTTTCGCCCAACCGCCGAACCGCGGCGGTTCGGCGAAACTAGCGGTTGGCGATTCTCCGATCAATCCGTATTTTTGCTTTTCGCCCAACCGCCATTTCGTCAGGGTCACAGACTGTGAACAGTGCCTAACAGTCTTGTTTGCTGCGGATGTTGGGGCGTGTCACGGGGGATAGGTTTGGCACGGCGCCAGCCACTTTCTTTTTTCGTTCAGCAAACAACAAGACCATCTATCATTCGTAACAGTTGCTTACTACGAGTTATTGTCGCTTACCCGCTTCAACAACTGGTGGATAATGGGATGGCGGCGTGGCAAAATCCATCCACCCTCTATCGTGCAGCGAACACGACTTTAAAACAATAGGAGACCCGAAGTTATGTTGTTTCATAATACGCTGTTAATCCAGTTGTTTTGCAGAAGTCTAACACTGTAGAACGCGAAGA